AAGCTACCATCTGAGTTGGCTTCCTTCTAATAGAAGGTGTTGTGCAATATAAATATACTAAAAGGAAATGAAAATGGAAAGTAATAGCTTTTATTTATTAAATTCTAAAAATGATTGCAAAACATTTTCAGATAACATCATGCAGATTTCTGCTTGTCCATTTATACAGATGTTGCGAAGTGGATATATTTGTATGTTTTGTTCTAAGATCCGACATGCAAATGTAGAGTGGATCATTTGTAATTAAGTACAACTTTCAGTGGGGCTTGTTTTCCACTGGATATCTATGTGTTTATAGAAAAGCAGATGCTCCAGTGGGTTTTTGCAGTTCATTCTGTTTATGCCCTTTAGTCAGAGTTTTTAAGGAAAACCACTTCATTTCTTGTTAAAATTAAGCAAAGTTAATGCCTTTTGACTGAATTTTGATTTTGGAGTCAGTTAGTGATCTAATTTTTTGTTTGTTTTATTTTTAAAGTATTACCTGTGAAAAATTTTCCATTAGTTGAAAGGTCTAAGCTGACTTATTGGTTTCATGCCCTTAACCTTTGAAAACGTGGTAATTAATTGAAGCAATACTATTTTTCTGTAAAGGATGGCTAAGTCATGTTGAGGGGCCTGGCTAACTATATTTGCTATGTATGAAAGCTCTTCTATTTCTCATTAATATTCTGTGTTTCTTTTTCTGTGATTAAGGACAGTAAGATACCATAGCTGAGGAGTTCTCACTGAAAGCTAGTCTGGTATTTTGTTGTATTCTATGTTTAAGATAAAGGACAATGTTTAGTGGTTAACAGGAATCTAGTGCCTTTTTTCACTGATTTACAAGTGAAAAAGGGAGTCATTAAGTTTCAGTATCTTCCTCTGCAGCAGAGCCAGTGAAGATAAAGCTGCAGTTCTGTTCCAAATCCATTATGTGTGTTTTATATTTTGGTAAATTTAATCTCTTGACTTCTTTGGTACAGCTCTGTTTTATAAGATAAGCTGTGAAAGAAACCTCCTGGATGTGATTTACAAAGTGAGAAGTTAACTGTTATCTATACTCTACTGGTAAGGATTTATAGCATGGCATAGTATTTAGCAGAAAATAAGTGTGTGTGTGTGTGTGTGTGTGTGTGTGTGTGTGTCTGTGTGTGTGTGTGTGTGTCTGTCTCTCTCTCTCTCTCTCTCTCTCTCTCTCTCTCTCTCTCTCGCTCTCTCGCTGTCTCTCTCTTTATCTCAGGGTGCTTGAGGTATAGGATTACAGTTAATTCTTTTTTTTGAGACAGAGTTTTGCTCTTATTGCCCAGGCTAGAGTGCAATGATGTGGTCTCAGCTCGCTGCAACCTCTGCCTCCCAGGTTCAAGCTGTTATTGCGCCTCAGCTTTCCGAGTAGCTGGGATTACAGGCATGCAGCACCACGCCCAGCTAATTTTTGTATTTTTAGTAGAGACAGGGTTTCACCATGTTGGCCAGGCTGGTCCCAAACTCCTGACCTCAGATGATCTGCCCAACTCATCCTCCCAAAGTGCTGGGATTACAGGTGTGAGCCACCGTGCCCTGTCAGGATTACAGTTAATTCTTGCTGAGAGCATTTAGTGACTCATCTGGTCTTATCTCTTTCCCATGCTAGTCATCTCATTCTCTCTCTGTATGGTGGTTGTTATTTGATGAGTGCTAGTTGTATAAAAGTAATATGTCTGATTTCTTCAAGAACCATTTTTTTCTGTCATCTGTGACCTCATCTATGACATTGGGGGACAACTGACCAGTGACAGTTTGCTGCCGCCCAGTGAAACCATAATAACTCTTTCCCTGAATGTGTATTTGTCCTCTTGAAGCTGTAACTTTGGACTGAATGCCAGGTGTTATTTTATCTTTTACTAGATATTTTTGTATCCCTGAAATTGTTCTTGACCTTTTTTTCCTGGAATACAGTGAAGTTATTTGGAAACAGTTTTATTTAGTGTGTGTAGGAGTCTTGCTTTTCACATTTCTTGGGGGAGACCAGAGCAGTATTCAGTATAGGGCAAGTTACTGAGGCAAGACTCTTTGGGTCTTCTATTTAATACCCCTTGAGCCTTGAGGTTTCCTACTTTGGTTGATGGGAGCAGGCACTATTCTTGGTCTTATTTGAGTACCTGCTACTGTTATCTCTAACTCTTTCAGTTGCTCCTGTCCCTAGCTTCAGGTAGTGTCTTCACGTGCTTGTACTGATTAGTACTCCATTGAATATTGAAGGTTGACCTTTGGCAGATTTTTAATTCTCTGCCTGTGCAGTTCTTTCCTCTCTAGTATTCTGACCTGTAAAGTCTAGCCTCTTTGGCCTCCCTGTACTCTCAACTTTGTCACCTTAACTCAAGGACTCCTTCAGGCTCCACCTTGCTTCTACCTGTTATGTGGCTGGCTAGGCAGGCTTCATGGGTAGTAAAATAATTTACTGAAACAGTAGTGAGTTAAAACCAAGTTTATTAGAGGGAAAGTACATTGCAAGGTAGCAATGGGCAGCACAGCAGAGAAGAGGCTGTCTGCCAAGAGGCAGGGACCGAAGGGAAGTTTTATAGGACCATGCCGGGAGGGCTATGTGCAGATGGGATTGGGCTGCTGGGGCTACATGCAGAGCAAGGTATTTGGGAACAGGATGTTGTACAAGTAGGTTGTTTGTGATTAGCTGTCTCTCAGAACAATTGTTCTCCCCCTTCTGGGGCCGGCCTCCTCCTTGTTGCTAACTTACCTTAGCAGGACTCCACACTACCTACCTTCACTGTGGTCTAGAAACTTTCTTAATCAGTAAATTGGGGCAGTCCTTTTGTTTATTTCCCAGTCTCACAGTGATTGCTGTTCTTGTTCAGTATCATGAAAACCACTGGACGTTGGTGTTCACATGCAAGGGTAAATCCAGTTTCCGTTATGACATCCTGGCTGGTCACTGAAGTGTCTCTCTATGAATTCTTAAAATTGTCCCCTGTCAGAGCCCATCTGAAATTAGTGTTTTCTCTCTTTGCGATAATGGAGTTCTGTTAGTGCTGCAAATCCAAGTTGTAGGCTTCACTATGAAAAACTGCATAGCGTCCCCAAGAAATACCATCACCAATCTGCCTGGTGGTCTTCTCTTTCTTTTGTGGATTCCTAAATAGGTTTACAAGGAGTGCTAAGAGGATGGCCACACTTAGCCTTACTGTGGATGAGTCAGCACAGAATCGGAAGCCTGCAAAAGAGTACAATGAGTTGGTCATTTCTCAGCACATACGTTTATTGTTACCCATACCCTCTTTCTAAAAGATTCGATTATGAGATTGTAAATTGCCATACTTTAAAAGTCTGCCTGTGTTCCAGTCGTGACCATTCAGTTGCGGAAGAGATAGGATGAGCAGGAAGCAGATGCTTCTGTCCACAGGAACCTCATTCTCTGTGGGAGAAACAAATACTGTGCAAATAGAAAGTGATAATACAATGTGATAAACTACAGCTTTCCCATTTAAGGACATTTAGAACACATCCTCTTTTACTCCTTGTACCATTTTAACAAAAGCAGTGCAGTACTAAAATGATACTTTTTTATACTTTGGATTACTTGGTAAAAATGAAGTTCTCTTTTTTATCTGTCAGCAAACATCTAAGAGCAAATATTAATTTAAACATTTCTTCTTACCAAAACTAACTTTATCTTCATGTAACACTTTTTAGTAATTTACCTAGTTTGTAGCTGTCTAAATAGAATTTGCTGATGCTTTACATATTTTTTCAGGTCGCTGATAAATCTTATTCTACTAAGTGAAAAGCAATT